GAACCGTCGACAGGAAAAATAATAAAAAATAAAATAAAGAAGTCTAATGAAAAAATAACAATTGAGAAAAGTTGGTATTTTATGAACCTTAGTTTTAATTATAACTGTTAATCATAATTAATTTTTATCAGTAGATGATGAAGAAGTGAAATCTAACTCTGATGATGACAGTGATTTTGAACCGTCGACAGGAAAAATAATAAAAAATAAAATAAAGAAGTCTAATGAAAAAATAACAATTGAGAAAAGTTGGTATTTTATGAACCTTAGTTTTAATAATAACTGTTAATCATAATTAATTTTTATCAGTAGATGATGAAGAAGTGAAATCTAACTCTGATGATGACAGTGATTTTGAACCGTCGACAGGAAAAATAATAAAAAATAAAATAAAGAAGTCTAATGAAAAAATAACAATTGAGAAAAGTTGGTATTTTATGAACCTTAGTTTTAATAATAACTGTTAATCATAATTAATTTTTATCAGTAGATGATGAAGAAGTGAAATCTAACTCTGACGATGACAGTGATTTTGAACCGTCGACAGGAAAAATAATAAAAAATAAAATAAAGAAGTCTAATGAAAAAATAACAATTGAGAAAAGTTGGTATTTTATGAACCTTAGTTTTAATAATAACTGTTAATCATAATTAATTTTTATCAGTAGATGATGAAGAAGTGAAATCTAACTCTGATGATGACAGTGATTTTGAACCGTCGACAGGAAAAAAAATAAAGAAGTCTAATGAAAAAATAACATTTGAGAAAAGTTGGTATTTTATAAACCTTAGTTTTAATAATAACTGTTAATCATAATTAATTTTTATCAGTAGATGATGAAGAAGTGAAATCTAACTCTGATGATGACAGTGATTTTGAACCGTCGACAGGAAAAATAATAAAAAATAAAATAAAGAAGTCTAATGAAAAAATAACAATTGAGAAAAGTTGGTATTTTATGACCCTTAGTTTTAATTATAATTGTTAATCATAATTAATTTTTATCAGTAGATGATGAAGAAGTGAAATCTAACTCTGATGATGACAGTGATTTTGAACCGTCGACAGGAAAAATAATAAAAAATAAAATAAAGAAGTCTAATGAAAAAATAACAATTGAGAAAAGTTGGTATTTTATGAACCTTAGTTTTAATTAATAATTGTTAATCATAATTAATTTTTATCAGTAGATGATGAAGAAGTGAAATCTAACTCTGATGATGACAGTGATTTTGAACCGTCAACAGGAAAAAAATAAAAATAAAAATAAAATAAAGAAGTCTAATAAAAAAATAACAATTGAGAAAAGTTGGTATTTTATAAACCTTAGTTTTAATAATAACTGTTAATCATAATTAATTTTTATCAGTAGATGATGAAGAAGTGAAATCTAACTCTGATGATGACAGTGATTTTGAACCGTCGACAGGAAAAAAAAATAAATGAAGTCTAATGAAAAAATAACAATTGAGAAAAGTTGGTATTTTATAAACCTTAGTTTTAATAATAACTGTTAATCATAATTAATTTTTATCAGTTGATGATGAAGAAGTGAAATCTAACTCTGACAATGACAGTGATTTTGAACCGTCGACAGGAAAAATAATAAAGAATAAAATAAAGAATTTAAATGAAAAAATAACAATTGAGAAAAGTTGGTATTTTATGACCCTTAGTTTTAATTATAATTGTTAATCATAATTAATTTTTATCAGTAGATGATGAAGAAGTGAAATCTAACTCTGATGATGACAGTGATTTTGAACCGTCGACAGGAAAAATAATAAAAAATAAAATAAAGAAGTCTAATGAAAAAATAACAATTGAGAAAAGTTGGTATTTTATGAACCTTAGTTTTAATTATAACTGTTAATCATAATTAATTTTTATCAGTAGATGATGAAGAAGTGAAATCTAACTCTGATGATGACAGTGATTTTGAACCGTCGACAGGAAAAATAATAAAAAATAAAATAAAGAAGTCTAATGAAAAAATAACAATTGAGAAAAGTTGGTATTTTATGAACCTTAGTTTTAATAATAACTGTTAATCATAATTAATTTTTATCAGTAGATGATGAAGAAGTGAAATCTAACTCTGATGATGACAGTGATTTTGAACCGTCGACAGGAAAAATAATAAAAAATAAAATAAAGAAGTCTAATGAAAAAATAACAATTGAGAAAAGTTGGTATTTTATGAACCTTAGTTTTAATAATAACTGTTAATCATAATTAATTTTTATCAGTAGATGATGAAGAAGTGAAATCTAACTCTGATGATGACAGTGATTTTGAACCGTCGACAGGAAAAATAATAAAAAATAAAATAAAGAAGTCTAATGAAAAAATAACAATTGAGAAAAGTTGGTATTTTATAAACCTTAGTTTTAATAATAACTGTTAATCATAATTAATTTTTATCAGTAGATGATGAAGAAGTGAAATCTAACTCTGATGATGACAGTGATTTTGAACCGTCGACAGGAAAAAATAAAAAATAAATAAGAAGTCTAATGAAAAAATAACATTTGAGAAAAGTTGGTATTTTATAAACCTTAGTTTTAATAATAACTGTTAATCATAATTAATTTTTATCAGTAGATGATAAAGAAGTGAAATCTAACTCTGATGATGACAGTGATTTTGAACCGTCGACAGGAAAAATAATAAAAAATAAAATAAAGAATTTAAATGAAAAAATAACAATTGAGAAAAGTTGGTATTTTATGACCCTTAGTTTTAATTATAATTGTTAATCATAATTAATTTTTATCAGTAGATGACGAAGAAGTGAAATCTAACTCTGATGATGACAGCGATTTGGAACCGTCAATAGGAAAAAGAATAAAAATAAAAAATAAAATAAAGAACTCTAATAAAAAGATTATTATTGAGAAAAGTTGGTATTTTATGTAACTTTGTTTTAATTATAACTATAATTGTTAATCATACGTAATCTTTATCAGTAGATGATGAAGAAATTACATCTAATTCTGACGACGACAGTGATTTTGAACCGTCAAAAGGAAAAAAAATGAAAAATACAAATAAAATGAAGAAGTCTAATAAAAAAATAACAATTGAGAAAAGTTGGTATTTTATGACCCTTAGTTTTAATTATAATTGTTAATCATAATTAATTTTTATCAGTAGATGATGAAGAAGTGAAATCTAACTCTGACGATGACAGTGATTTTGAACCGTCGACAGGAAAAATAATAAAAAATAAAATAAAGAAGTCTAATGAAAAAATAACAATTGAGAAAAGTTGGTATTTTATGACCCTTAGTTTTAATAATAACTGTTAATCATAATTAATTTTTATCAGTAGATGATGAAGAAGTGAAATCTAACTCTGATGATGACAGTGATTTTGAACCGTCGACAGGAAAAATAATAAAAAATAAAATAAAGAAGTCTAATGAAAAAATAACAATTGAGAAAAGTTGGTATTTTATGAACCTTAGTTTTAATTATAATTGTTTATCATAATTAATTTTTATCAGTAGATGATGAAGAAGTGAAATCTAACTCTGATGATGACAGTGATTTTGAACCGCCGACAGGAAAAATAATAAAAAATAAAATAAAGAATTTAAATGAAAAAATAACAATTGAGAAAAGTTGGTATTTTATGACCCTTAGTTTTAATTATAATTGTTAATCATAATTAATTTTTATCAGTAGATGACGAAGAAGTGAAATCTAACTCTGATGATGACAGCGATTTGGAACCGTCAATAGGAAAAAGAATAAAAATAAAAAATAAAATAAAGAACTCTAATAAAAAGATTATTATTGAGAAAAGTTGGTATTTTATGTAACTTTGTTTTAATTATAACTATAATTGTTAATCATACGTAATCTTTATCAGTAGATGATGAAGAAATTACATCTAATTCTGACGACGACAGTGATTTTGAACCGTCAAAAGGAAAAAAAATGAAAAATACAAATAAAATGAAGAAGTCTAATAAAAAAATAACAATTGAGAAAAGTTGGTATTTTATGACCCTTAGTTTTAATTATAATTGTTAATCATAATTAATTTTTATCAGTAGATGATGAAGAGGTGAAATCTATCTCTGATGATGACAGTGATTTTGAACCGTCGACAGGAAAAATAATAAAAAATAAAATAAAGAAGTCTAATGAAAAAATAACAATTGAGAAAAGTTGGTATTTTATAAACCTTAGTTTTAATAATAACTGTTAATCATAATTAATTTTTATCAGTAGATGACGGAGAAGTGAAATCTAACTCTGATGATGACAGTGATTTTGAACTGTCGACAGGAAAAATAATAAAAAATAAAATAAAGAAGTCTAATGAAAAAAAAACAATTGAGAAATGTTGGTATTTTATAAACCTTAGTTTTAATAATAACTGTTAATCATAATTAATTTTTATCAGTAGATGATAAAGAAGTGAAATCTAACTCTGATAATGACAGTGATTTTGAACCGTCGACAGGAAAAATAATAAAAAATAAAATAAAGAATTTAAATGAAAAAATAACAATTGAGAAAAGTTGGTATTTTATGACCCTTAGTTTTAATTATAATTGTTTATCATAATTAATTTGTATCAGTAGATGATGAAGAAGTGAAATCTTATTTTGATGATGACAGCGATTTGGAACCGTCAATAGGAAAAAGAATAAAAATAAAAAATAAAATAAAGAACTCTAATAAAAAGATTATTATTGAGAAAAGTTGGTATTTTATGTAACTTTGTTTTAATTATAACTATAATTGTTAATCATACGTAATCTTTATCAGTAGATGATGAAGAAATTACATCTAATTCTGACGACGACAGTGATTTTGAACCGTCAAAAGGAAAAAAAATGAAAAATAAAAATAAAATGAAGAAGTCTAATAAAAAAATAACCATTGAGAAAAGTTGGTATTTTATCTCAATTTTAATTATAACTATAATGTGAATCATATTTAAATTAAATGTTTAGGTAAAAAAAAAGTGAATAAGATAATAATGGAGGAATCAAACTATATAGTTCAAGACAAACCAGTTAGTAAATTAAAACCTCATATTTTTGCTGTTTATTCGTTGTGTAGTGGAACAATTACACCAGAAACCAAAAATAACCTCTCAAATGAACCAGAACTGGAGATTCCAACAAAGTATCGGAAATTAAAAAATGCAACAACCACTAAAAATCCTAAAACAAAACGAACATTAACCTCAGGAAGCGAAAACAAACATTTAAATGGACTAGAATTGGAGATACCAACAAAGTATCGAAAAGTAAAAAATGCAATGGTCACTAAAAAGCCCAAAACCAAACAAACCGTAACTTCAGGAAGCGAAAATAACCATTCAAATGAATTAGAATTTGATATTCCAACAAAGCATCGGAAATTATATAATGAAATAATTATTGAAAACAACATAACAAATCAAACGGTAACTTCAGAAACCAAAAACAACCCCTCAAATAAACTAGAATTGCAGTTTCCAACAAAGTATCGGAAATTAAAAAATGCCAAAATCACTAAAAAGCTTAAAACAAAACGTATATTAACTTCAGGAACCGAAAACAAACACTTAAATGGACTAGAATTGGGGATTCCAACAAAGTACCGAAAAATAGATAATGAATTAGTTATTGAAAAAACCATAACAAATCAAACGATAACTTCAGGAAGCAAACAAAAACTCTCAAATGTAGTAGAATTGGAGATTCCAACAAAGTATCAGAAAATAGATAGTGCAATGATTATTGAAAGTCCAATAACCAATCAAACGGTAACTTCAGGAAGCACACAAAAACTCTCAAATGAGCCAAAATTGGAAATTCCAACAAAGCATTGGAAATTAGATAGTGAAATAATTATTGAAAACACCATAACAAATCTAACGGTAACTTCAGAAACCAAAAACAACCTCTCAAATAAACTAGAATTGGAGATTCCAACAAAGTACCAAAAAATAAAAAATGCAATAATTAATAGGTCTAAAAGGTCTAAAACCATACAAACGGTAACTTCAGAAAGCGAAATCAAACATTTAACCGGACTAGAATTGGAGATTCCAACTAAGTACCCAAAAATAGATAATGAATTAGTTATTGAAAAAACCATAACAAATCAAACGGTAACTTCAGAAACCAAAATCAACCTCTCAAATGAACCAGAATTGGAGATTCCAACAAAGTATCAGAAAATAGATAATGCAATGATTATTGAAAGTCCCATAAACAATCAATTGGTAACTTCAGGAAGCCAACAAATACTCTCAAATGAGACAGAGTTGGAGATTCCAACAAAGCATGAGAAAATAGATCATGAATTAATTATTGAAAACACCGTAACAAATCAAACGGTAACTTCAGAAACCAAAAACAACCTTTCAAAAGAACCAGAATTGAAGATCCCAACAAAGAATCTGAATATAGATACGAGTAACGCAATTTTTATTAAAGAGCCTACATCAAATACTTTCACTATTGAAACTCAAGTAGAGAACGAATCCAATTTAATTCCAATTGAAAATGCAGATAATATTGTTAGTTCAAGTAAGTAGAAGTAACCTATAGAAGAAAACATAAATTTGTTTTACATTTTTAGTTGTATTATTAGTTTACTATAAATACTATAAATAAACTAATAATACAATAAATAATAAAAAATAATACAATAAACCGATGCCTTAATTTGATTTTAGTTGCTGTTTTTGTTCCAAAATCAGTAGTAAACTTTTTGTAGAAAAATGACAAATTGAGAAAATGATTACCTATTTCTAAAAACATAATTTTATTATAAATATGTTATCACTTTTAACATATTACTTATATAAATTTAGATTAAAAAACAAAAATAGTAAAAATTGCGTTTCTTTCGGTAAAATATTTACTTTTTAGCTTCGATGCGGATTATTTATGTGCCTGTACCCACATCTTCTAAGCCGCTGAACCAATTTCTTTTGTGTAGCAACTATGTAGATTAGAAATCGTACCTGTAACTTATTTTATTGGCCAAAAATTAAAAAAATTCACCCCACCCCTTAAAAATCTAAAGAAACACCCAAATAATGTACATATTTTTTAACTTATTTGTCCACAGATTCACACCGATACGTTTATTTAAAAGTGATTTCATCAGTTTTTGTTGTAATAATTTCTATAGACCTATGACCTCTCCGTTCCCACTATATCCCTACCTCACTGTACTGGCTTTTTAAAATTTAAGTGTATCTTTAATTTTTAGGTGACCTCGATTATGTTTTACTACATATACCTGAATATAATATAAGTGATTATGAAACATCATCTAACGTAACATTTGACAACAAAGATTTGCCTGAAAAACAAATGTAAGTAAAATATTAAATAGCTTAATATGTAATATACATTGATCATGGTAATGTTTAAATTTAGAATTGAAAACAAAATTGTTGATTCACGAATGATGGATGATTCATATTCGAATAAGACACAAAAGAAAGCGGACAAATTAAAAACTTATGATGGCAAAAAAAACGTATTAAAGGCATCGATTGTACGTGAGAATTATAAATATTTGTATCTTATCTTAATACATTGTGATATATTTAACACACAGCATATTATAGTTATTTAGAGTAGAGGTGTGTTGCTCGTGAAGGAACGGATCATTAGATATACTCATTAGATTAATCTTTATAGCGTGAACATAAAATATTTACAGTATCATATAATTTATAAAACTGTATTTTGTTTATTTTTATTATAATAACTTTATTTATTAAATCCTTATCAAATTTTTTATTCTGTAAAATTAAGATTTTTTTTATGTAAGGTAGCAAAGTAGATTTATTCGAGATTTAAAAAAGATAATAGTCTGCTAATTTTATTATATGTTCCTGTATCTTGTGGGAAGGTTCCTTAGTGCCGGTTTTTGTATATATAGGTAGGAGGAATTTTCTAACAAATAATTATAAGCTCTTCTTGAATATTCACCAAAAGTAAAGTTTTTCTTCTTTATTTTGCTTTCTAATGATTCAGCATAGATAAAATGTTAAAGAACTACATTTTATCTATGCTAAATACATAAAAAGAATCGTTGAATTTGGTAGTTCAATATAAAGTAGTTTTTGAAAAAAGATCCTCAAAACCCTTTAAAAACGCATAAATAACGGCTTTAGGACCAAGTCCTTTAAGCTAAAAAAGAAGAAATGAGCTCAAAATGACCGTGAACAATTAATGTGAATTAATGGGAAAAATTATTTAAAAATATAGACCAGCCAAATTCATTAATTATTTTCGATTTTTTTGAAATTATAAATGTAAAAAAAAAAATAATAACTAGCCAGTTAAGTAATGATTATCCAGATATATCTTATTATAAATACCGATATTTTAGATGTGCTGTATTTGTGAAGAAATGAAAAAACTATTAATTAAATCATCGGTGTATGAAGAATGTGTCTCATGTCATGAACCTGGTTGCAAGTATGGTTTCCATGTGACATGTGCTCAGAATTTTGGACTAATACCGAAAGGGATAGATGTCAATAATGTAAAATCTCTTGGTTATTGCAAACATCATTATACAAAATCGGTTTGTAGTTAATACTTTATAGGTATATTACCTATTTATAGGTACTAAAGTGTAATATTTTTAAACATTTATAGGTAATATGTAATGATATAGTAGCACCTACAGTGCCTTATCAATTAAAAAACAGTTCCGAAAACCGTTCAGTAACCTCTGACGTGCCAACGATGACTATGGCTAGAACGTATTCTTATACAACAAAACAAGCAAATGAGTATAATGAAAATCAAACAAATATTAACATGAATGGTAATTAATTAAACTTATTATTAATAAAAACTCGATGTAATTTTTTTATACATTTTTTTTAGATAATATACCCCCAAAAGATGTAAATAAAATGCTAAACATGATGCTTAACTTGCCAAATACTTTATATACTAATATGCCAGAACGAAATGTTTTGTCGCCACACACTGAAAATCTAGTGGTTAACAGTACATATATGACACAAATAGTTACTTCGAATGATATCGATTCAAACGATCCGGAATTTAGGAATTCAACCATGTTCCAAAAAAATTATAGTGAAACACAAACAAATCAAAACTATAATGTACCTAAAACGATTGACGACCCTTATTCACCCCTTGTTGACCACGGACAAGCAATTAGGCCAAGTATGTATAAGTTAAATAAGTTCTTTGTTAAAAACAAAAATATATATATTCTTAAAGTCCTTCATTTTCAAATGGTTTTTAAAGTGAAGTAAAAATATAGTATATAGTATGTTTTAAATTCCATACACTTCGATATAAAAAAATGGTACCTATTACATATATGTATTTCATTTTTAGATGTACTTGAACCTGGATTGTTACACAGATTTACATCTAATATAGAGAAGGAAAAAGTTAGCGTTCAAAGCATTCCGTTTAATGCTTCAAGTTCCAAAAAAGAGCCACTTACAAATCAATCGTAAGTATAATCAGTAAATAATACATATAATTTGTTGTGTAAATATGTATATAATTTATTATCAATATGTATATATATATATATATATGTATATACACATTAGACTGTTTTTATTAAAACATTTTGTTTTCTGACGACTTTCCCTTTCAATCAATTTTATTCTTTCCAAGTAAGTAATACCTAATTTTTTTTTGCAATTGATAAACATAAAAAATTTAAATTAATTATTAAAAAAAAAATAGTTTTAAAACAAATGAAAAAATTGTCATTTAACTTTATTTAATTTTTAAAGTTTTTTAATGCTGTAGTATGCTACTTGTAAATTACCTACCAAACTTTTATCTCGTTATAGTTTAATTACTTCCAACGGGCTGTAACTTATTTTAATAGGCTACTTCAGACGGTCTAATATACTATATATCAGAGTGGCTTTTATACGCATTTCAATACTCTTTCAAGCCTTACATGCAAATAGATCCAATATGAAAATAAATATCACCTAAAGACTTTTTAAAATATATTATCATTATCATAGTACTGCGGTTTGAGCAAAAAGTTCTTATTTATTTAAAATTACTTACCAATACATATATTTATGATCATGAGAAGTAAATTTTAAATCGAATAATTAAAATAATATACAATGTACATTTTTTTGGAATCCCTCAAATATGATTTCATTTTTAAATGAAAATAAAATATTAACAGAAAATTATTTTTTGAAATCACAAAATGTTTTTTCTATGTATTTAAGTTAATTGCCTTCCTCTAATTTTAGATTTGAAACAAAAAGTACAGATTATATGTTGGAAAATACAACTAATTCCTCAATCAGTAGGGAACAGACATTTGTTGAATACGCTCACACAAGTACACAAATTGGCGGTAAAACGAATTTGTTAGCCGATCAACAGCGAAAATATATAACAGATGATGAGCTTCAACAAAGGAGTCAAAGTGTCAAAAGATGTTCAATAGCTAGTCAACCGGTAATTTATTCAATTCAGTTTTAGTGTATTTTTACACATTATTTAGTTATATTTAGTTATATATTATATATTGTGTGGTCTACTTGATGATGCTTTACTTTGTCGTAGTTCAGTATTTTTCTGTCATTTTATTGTCGATTACAACAGATTTGTAATTTATCAGGGTACAGATCGTAAACATCGAGATTCGGTTTCTAGGTGGGCATCGTTGTTGGATATAATTATTAATAATGAGCCAATAGAAAATATATTTAATTACGATTGGGATGAAGAGGACATGTTCTCAGACATTGAATATGGAAGTTTTGATGGTACGCTATTATTATAATTTTATAAAATAATAATTGTTTTAATATAATTGTAAATTTAATTATTGTATACTTTGAATTTTTGAACAGTGGCATTGTTATTATCGTGCATTCAAAAATTGTTATGGCAAATTTATACGTTATATAGCGAAATAGGCATTTATAAAAAATACCGTGAACGCTTGCTAGCTATAAACGCAAGACTTTCAACATCATTTCTACCTAAAAGTAATTGTTTCCCTAATCTACTTTTGAAATAGTTATAATATTAAAACCACGTATTATAATTTTAATAAAATAATTTTATGACAAATGCAAAGAAAGATAGTTTCTAGATCTAATCTAGATAATAATCTAGATTATTCTAATAAGACGAACATTCATATATATTATAAGTTATAATATTTGTATTAATTAAAAGAGTGTAGTTTACTTTGATACTTTTCTAATGATCATTATTTTGTTAATTTTAGATAGAAGAAACCGAGCAAGTGCCTCGACCACAACAGCTTCAAATAATTGTTCAGAAGCTTCAGTACCTTCTACGGCTTCCTCAAATCTGATTCCTGAACAGCGTACACATTTTCACCCACAGCATGTCGATCATAACCTTCCAGTGCCAACCACGTACTAAATATTATTATAATTTAAATACATTCGAGGGTCCGTTTAAAGTTCCAAACGAATATATTTCATTTGTTTCCGTTAGGTTAGTGGTTCGGAACGTACTAAAAACTGCAAAGTGTATCATTAGGCATTAGGCATTAACTCAATTTACAAAAAAAAGTAATTTTTTTTTTTAGTTAATGAGCAAATAATTTTCAGTGAATTGGACCCTTGATTACATTTTTTAAAAAATGTGTCAATAATTTGTAGATGGAACTTTAAAAAATTCTAGCATAATGGGGACGGGCATATTGGGGTTGGAACAATGCAGGGAGGTCGAGGAAGTCACATGAAAGGCACAGGGGAAAAACTGTAGTAGTCACATTATAAAAACTTTAGAGTATAACAAAAACAAAATTCGTGAATTCCTCTCCCTCTTACATAAAAACAAAAAAAAATCACATTAAATGCTATTATAATAAAAAAAGTATTTATTTAAACCATCTATTGACATAAATAAAAAAAGTGAATGGCATAAATTGAAAAAAACGTTATGAAAAAAAAATGTCATTATGTGACTACTACTGTTTTTCTCCTGTGCCCTTCACATGTTTTTAAGAGTTATTATACTAATAATAACTATAATAAGGAGGAGGAGTGGCCGAGTGGGGAAGGCGGCAGTGTCTTAGCGCTCACTGTCGCCGGATCCGACACTCGGGTTACGGGTCAGTAAATCCACCTAAAAACCATCATGTCATGATGGGCAGCTTAAAAGCCCGTTAAAGTTGATGATGATAATAACTATAAGATATATAATATGTAAATACATATAAACATTAAATTTGTTTCCAACAGTGTTATTCTGGACAAGGCGTAGCACAATATTGTTACTCTAGGTCACAATCTGCACATTGATGCTAAAGCGTTAAATTGTATAAACTGTTTTTTTCCAATAGTTACCAACCTCTTTCAAATGTAATTTTTCTCGTTCAATCGGGTGCTAATCAGGATCAGAGTCTAGACAACAATATGCAGCCTTATCAAGATCCTGATCAAAATAATTCCAATTTGACGGACCTGTCGTCTCAGGAGACCGCTACGTCAGATTTAAAGGTAAATTATTAAATAGATATATATTCAAATTAAGACTGATTCCAACATGAAACTCATATTTTTTTTAAAATTAGCTATAGCTGTCCGTAAGACAGCCGTAAGAGGTTATTTTAAGTTGTACAAATCAAAAATGTATACTTGTGTGAATGTAAATTAAACCACGTCTGCTTTTAATGAAAAATAAAAGACAACTTCTTCAACATTTTCGATTTGATATCAACTTTAAAAAAATGATGTTCCAAATTGCATGTATAATAGATTATAATTGTGTATTTACATAATAAACAAATTGGTTTTCAGCCACTTAATCCAACGAAAAATTACTGAAAACATGTTGACTCACACGGATAAGCAATGGAATTTTTACTTTTCTCTTAAAAGTCTACATAGCGTCATAATTTAAGACTTAAATCCATACCGAAAAAAACATATTTCGTTTGTTTTTCTTAGTATTAAGTATGATATATAATTATTTTATTAAATAATATATCCTCAAAATCTATTCCAACTACATTATTACTATTTCATATTGACATAATTTAAGCGAAAATGTAAATGTTATTTTGTTGTTTTCTACAAACCCACGTTTATTGTATTTTTGTGCACAATTTTAAATTTATATAAAATATATTGTTTACGTATTTTATTATAATAACTGTGTAATTTTTATATATTAAAACTTATTAAACATTATATGAGCTTATGTTTTAGAACCAAGTGTGATTGTATATAAATTATATACACTATAAAACAAAGAAAACAATAAAATGTTGTAGCTAATGATTTTACTATTTATATTCGTATATTATATTCTTATATTAGTACTGGTATTTTACTGTGTAATTTTTATATTTTAAAACGTATTAAACATTAAATGAGCTTATGTTTTAGAACCAAGTGTGATTGTATATTAATTATGTACACTATTAAACAAAAAAAACAATAACATGTTGTAGCTAATGATTTTACTACTTATATTCGTATATTATATTCTCATATTAGTACTGGTATTTTACTGTGTAATTTTTATATTTTGAAACGTATAAAACATTAAATGAGCTTATGTTTTAGAACCAAGTGTGATTGTATATTAATTATGTACACTATTAAACAAAAAAAACAATAACATGTTGTAGCTAATGATTTTACTATTTATATTCGTATATTATATTTTTATATTAGTACTGGTATTTTACTGTGTAATTTTTATATATTAAAACTTATTAAACATTATATGAGCTTATGTTTAAGAACCAAGTGCGATTGTATATTAATTATATACACTATAAAAAAAAACAATAAAATGTTGTAGCTAATGATTTTACTATTTATATTCGTATATTATATTCTTATATTAGTACTGGTATTTTATTATAACTACTGTGTAATTTTTATATATTAAAACTTATTAAACATTATATGAGTTTATGTTTTAGAACCAAGTGTGATTGTATATTAATTATATACATTATAAAAAAAAAAAACAATAAAATGTTGTAGCTAATGATTTTACTATTTATATTCTTATATTAGTACTGGTATTTTACTGTGTAATTTTTATATTTTGAAACGTATTAAACATTAAATGAGCTTATGTTTTAGAACCAAGTGTGATTGTATATTAATTATGTACACTATTAAACAAAAAAAACAATAACATGTTGTAGCTAATGATTTTACTACTTATATTCGTATATTATATTCTCATATTAGTACTGGTATTTTACTGTGTATTTTTTATATAATAAAACTTATTAAACATTATATGAGCTTATGTTTAAGAACCAAGTGCGATTGTATATTAATTATATACACTATTAAACAAAGAAAACAATAACTTGTTGTAGCTAATGATTTTACTATTTATATTCGTATATTATATTCTTATATTAGTACTGGTATTTTATTATAACTACTGTGTAATTTTTATATTTTAAAACGTATTAAACATTAAATGAGTTTATGTTTTAGAACCAAGTGTGATTGTATATTAATTATGTACACTATTAAACAAAAAAAACAATAACATGTTGTAGCTAATGATTTTACTATTTATATTCGTATATTATATTTTTATATTAGTACTGGTATTTTACTGTGTAATTTTTATATATTAAAACTTATTAAACATTATATGAGCTTATGTTTAAGAACCAAGTGCGATTGTATATTAATTATATACACTATAAAAAAAAAACAATAAAATGTTGTAGCTAATGATTTTACTATTTATATTCGTATATTATATTCTTATATTAGTACTGGTATTTTATTATAACTACTGTGTAATTTTTATATTTTAAAACGTATTAAACATTAAATGAGCTTATGTTTTAGAACCAAGTGTGATTGTATATTAATTATGTACACTATTAAACAAAGAAAATAATAACATGTTGTAGCTAATGTTTTTACTACTTATATTCGTATATTATATTGCTTATGTTTTAGAACCAAGTGTGATTGTATATTAATTATGTACACTATTAAACAAAGAAAACAATAACATGTTGTAGCTAATGATTTTACTACTTATATTCGTATATTATATTCTTATATTAGTACTGGTATTTTACTGTGTAATTTTTATATATTATTAAACATTATATGAGCTTATGTTTAAGAACCAAGTGCGATTGTATATTAATTATATACACTATTAAACAAAGAAAACAATAACATGTTGTAGCTAATGATTTTACTATTTATATTCGTATATTATATTCTTATATTAGTACTGGTATTTTATTATAACTACTGTGTAATTTTTATATTTTAAAACGTATTATACATTAAATGAGCTTGTGTTTTAGAACCAAGTGTGATTGTATATTAATTATATACACTATAAACCTACGTGTGTACAAATTTAAATATAGCAAATCTGTGGATTATGTTATTAGATACATATTTTATTATTAAATAACAAATTTTCTAGCCGTAAAAATGATTAGTTTTTCTTAATTTAGTTTTAATTTACCTAATTGCAAAACATTGCCGGACTGGCCAATAGTTCAGAACAATAAGCTTTTTAAAGTATATAAAAACTAACTGAATAGCATACATATTAGCAGTGTTAGGCATAGAGTATTAAAAATGCTTGTTGTATGTTGTAGTTCATGTACATAAAATGGCGTACTTCAAATCAATTTCACGGCTGGATATTTAGTGGACATATTTTAATAATGATAAAATAGCTTAAATGTCAAAATAGAAGATGAGGCATAAAATTACGTTTTTATTTAAAACATTTTAATTGTATCTTTATTTAGATTTTTTTACTTATCGTGTAGCTTAAAGCTAGACTTAGACTTTAAAGACGCAATGCTGTCATTTTGACCTCAACTTATTTAAATAATAGTTATTCCAAAACACTAGTTGCGTAGGTACGAATTGACTGTTTTTTCTTTAACGAAAACAATGATAAATTGAAAATTTTATTTATTTATTAATTTCTGATTTAAACAATTTGTATTGCATTATTCAAGTTGAAAACATTGATTCTAAATCGTTGCCTCAAATACAAATCAATCAGCTTTCAAAATTGTTTTTCAGTTTATGTATATATATATATATATATATATATATATATATATATATATATTATAAATGGGGATGTGTGCAGTGTACTTACTACTTTAAGGGTAGTCGTCACTGCATCACCGAGCCACAATACATTGTACTTGTGTTTATGCAATGTGATCTCAGTTTTTCCCAAATTTGTATGTTTTTAACCCCTCTAAAATAAATTGTTTTTGTATCAACTTTTAAAATTGAAATGGTAATTTCTACGTTTTATCAACTTTTTAAAGAATATTTAAGAATATTTTTCTAAACATTTTAAGTGGCGATTGTCAGTTTTTTATAATAATTTTTCAAGTTTAGCATGGAAGACAGGGCGGAGTATAGTATTATTTTTATCTGCACGCATTACTGAACCACACTTCCCTACCCGTCCTAACTTTTAAACTTTTATAACCTAAAAATAAAGATTTTAAACCATTCAATTTTTTTAAAATATTGTCATAATTCAAAAGGTTTGTAGAATTTATACTTTACCATTTAAGTTTCAAAAGTTGATATAAAAAAAAATAATTTTTTTGGGGGGGAGGGGGGTTAAAAACAAAAAGTTTGTAAAAAATTCAAATTACACTATGTAAAAACACTACGAAAAAAAATGTAATTTCTCAATTAAAATAAATTGACATGGTCGAAGGTTTATTAAAACCACTTTTTTCTTAAATATCGCCTTCATAAAACCTCTTAAAAATCGCCCGCTGGCAATCTCCTTAAATACTAATATTATACTGCTAACAGGTTGTTTTCTTGTTTTATTATACAGACCTGAAACTTGGACGCTTACAAAATAACATCATGCAAACTAATCTGGCTCTAGAAATGGAATTTTACCGTCGAATTCTTAATGAATGCTTAGAATTATTTGATTTTTTTTTAGGAACGAGTAAGGTAATAAATAGAATCGAAATAAGTACAAACAATTTTTTACGAAACACTATTTTATATGTATTTTTATTCTATCCCACGTTCAAACATTAATACGCTATATTGTATTATATTATTCATAATAAACAACTACATTCTCTAAACTATTTATTTATACATGTACATGCATCTTTTCGCACCTATCATGTGTCGTCATAAGATATATGATGAAAATAAGTATAATTTGTATGCGAGGTACTACCACAGGACACACGTTAACGCAAACACTGCGATCACATTTATTCCGACGGACCCATAGAGACTGCTTCCATGGGACACTAGAGTCTTGCTGACGTACGGTTCCACGTTGGTCTTGTTGTAATTTGCGTAGTACCAGTCGCTGGCCGAGCTCGTCCGAAACGGTGTCGATTGGAACGCGTCTGTTGACCTAGTGGGCGGCAATTGGTACGCCTGATGGTTATGTGGGCTCTTGGGGTACCGCTGTAAATGGGTGCCGTGTGGCATCTCGTCCGGCGGTTTTGTGTGCTGTTGCTGTGGTAGTCCTGGAGTGGTCGGGCTCAATGTGACTTTCACGATGGACGGTTTCCCGGTGACCACCACGTTGCCTACAGCGCCCATTTTATCGGGTAGCTGTCCGCCGGGTGCTAGAAACCCCGACAGCGACGACGGCGTGGATACGCTAGACACTACGTTTGACGAGGCGATCGTTGGAGGTGTCACCATCGATGTCGCCGATGACTGTTGTTGTTGTTGAGTAGTCGAAGGCGCGATTGTCTGATGATGGCTAACTGGAAACACAAAAATAATTCAAATAAACCAAAGTCTTATTTAGATTTTAAGACTTATGAGGCTTATCTAAAGATGTTTTTTTTTTCAAAAAAACTTAACAATTATAATCTTATGCATGAACAAGTGATTAGTTAAGTGTTACCTGTGGACTGTTTTAGGGAGATTTCTGAATGGCCGGTAGCTATTGTGTTCTGCGGTGTGCTCATAATGGCCGTTGTCTGTGACGGATAATTGGCCAGATTTGGGTTGGCCGTCGGCCGTATGATCGAGTTGATGGTGGCCGATTCGTATAGCGAGTCACGCGTTGTGTTGTTAGACAATTTTGGGGAGCCGGAGTCGCTGACCGGCGGAACCCTCTCGAAATGAAACGGATTTTCGGTCGTGCTGCTGCCATACCTGTGGTACTTGGATTTGATTTTCGTGGTCATCGTCTTATTTCGATACATGTAGTCAACTTCGCCACGGTCATCGACGTCTTCGGAAAACAAGTCCTCGTCGTCGTCATCGTTGTCGTTGGTGGCAGCCGGAGTCGACGCTGTCATCGGCCTGAAGCCGCCGATACCTGGCAACATGGGCGTAAAGCCGCCGCCGCCACTGCTGCTGTCTGCTTCATTTTCCACCGCCACAGTGGGCGATGGATTTTTGGGTGTCGAGTTACGCCGGCCATCCTTTAGTCGCTTGCCGTTGCCCTTTGTCTGTCCCCAAATGTTGTTGAAGTTCAGCGGCGGTATGGGCACCCCGAAGAACGTAAACGCGCTGCCGCCGGAATTGCTCTGCGACGGGTGCTCTTCCGTGTACGATGACGAAGACCCGTTGGTCCGGGTACCCGCGTATAACGTAGGAGTATCACCCGGCACGTAATGCGACAACACCGCCGGCGATATGGTCGTCACGGCCTTTTCGGTCGATAGTCCTCTCTGCACATCCGGTTTCTCGTCCACATCGACAGCTTCGTCGTAGAAATAGTCCGTCTCTTCCGGCAAAGGCTTGTTTACCGTCGCCTCTTCGTTGTTTTCCACCCAAGCTTGGACTTTGTTCGACGTACCCGTGTTGGCTACAAACATTGTATAATTTTATGAATTGTTCTATATTAAAATAATGCAAAATAAAAAAAACTAATATTTTAAAAAGAGGAAATAAAATAAACTTGTAAATTTATTAAAAATATGCTGAGGGTATTATAATTACTTATACTGAGCTTACATATTGTTGTATAGTAAAACTATGAATTTTAACGCACAAATGCAAGAAATAAGTAACGAATTCTGTTCAATATAAACCTTAGTATTTAGTACTTTTACTATGCACTTGATTTACTTTTACTGATATATCCTAGTCTTAAGGAGTATAATAACTATTAATTATATACAGTCAACAAGTGTTTGTATTTCAGTTAAAATTCACTTTTACAAATTGATTTAATGTATTAAAGATGAATTAATAATATTAACCGTTAGCAACTGGAATGGCTTCGACTTCACACCCGGGAATGTGTTCGGCAAGATTCAGTTCCCTTTCATCGCACTGCTTCGTCGTAAACGACATCTCTCTCAAAGGAGTACCGTCAGTACATCTAGGCCCCGAAGTGTCAGCCGAAGCCCTCAACCATGACTGTAACCATTTCATATTGCACGAACAGTGCACGGGATTACCTGTTGACGTATATTAAAATATCTCGTGTAATACATTTGAAACTGAATTAAGTTAAATTTATAAAAGTTAAAAAATACCGTCAACGTCCAAACGGGAAATGGTTGGTCGGATGCTGTTGAACGTGGTTTCCGACAGAGAAGTCATTTTGTTGTCCCGTAAACTTAAGACTCTCAAGCGACCCATGCCATCAAACGGACTTCCCATTATGTTGCAAAGCCTGTTATTGTCCAGCTGAAAGAAGACATTTCATTTCCTATTGAGTCCGACACATACTTGAAATAATACCATTAATTAATATTAAGTAATCATTACATTTGGCAATCGTCTTGGATTAATAAGAAATCTGGGATCAAGATTAAGACTTTATAAAATAAAATGTAACACGATAAAGCAACGGAATATTTTTGATTTTGTTTTATATAAAACAGTAGTTAAGGTTAAGAATGCAAGAACCTGTTTATTATGTATCATTAATCAAATTCAAACGCTTATATTACTACTAATGTGGTGGGTAGTACAGGTATTAAGTATCTACATTGTTTTAAGAAATTGAGCCATAACAAATATTTAGTAGCCTTTTACACATTGGCTATATGGAAGACAGAAAACTTAAATATTTCATTTTGCTGATTTTCGGATATATCCGAAAATCAGCAAAATAGAATTTCAATCCACGAAAGCTTTAACGCATTCAAACTTAAATATTTATTTCCAAATGGTGTAGAATTTAATAAGGAAATCATGTTGAATTTTATCATGTTTTCATTCTATGTAAAATGTATTTTTTAACTAAGATTGATTTCTTCGTTAAGTATAATAGCTATCAGCCGCTGTATAACTTACTTTCAGCATAATCAAAGAATGCATGTTCTGTATGCTTCTCGTTGCAATCTGTTTGAGCTTGTTGTGACTCAAATCGAGAACTTCCAGATTTCTAAGGGTACTCAGTCCAGATTTTTCCATACCGTTTAAAGAATTATGGCTTAAATTCAACATGATCAAATTGGGCATGCCCACGAAAGCGTCGCTAGCGATTTCGCTTAGTTGGTTTTCTTGCAATTCCATCACTTGCAACATGGGCAGGTTAACCATGGAAGCGCTTGGTAAGGACGCCAATTTGTTCCTGGCCAACTTGAGCACCATAAGATTTGGCATGCCTTGAATACCGTATGATGGCAACGTATCTAGGTTGTTACCTTCCATTTCCAAAATAGTCAAATTCGGAAGCTGTTGGAAAGCACCTTCATTTAGAGAACTCAATTTATTTTCTGATAAGTATAATTCTTTCAGATGTGGCATCGAGGAGACCATTCCTTTTTTCATATGCCTTATTTCGTTGTTTCTCAAATCAAGTGTTTTTAGGTTTGGATTGACAGCTAACGACGAAGGGAACTCCGTCAGAGCATTATGTGCTATTGATAAGTCCTCAAGTTCTCTAGAAAAGTCGTCAAACAAATATATTTTATAAATATATGTTCATATTATTTAACTACCTAAATATATTTTTAAAATTGACGTACTTGTTTACAGAAAAGTACGACTCGTGAACTTCGGTTAATCTGTTATTACTTATATCTAATTTTTTTAGTTTCAAATTGTTGACAAATAGGGATGGTTCCATCAATTCTAATCTATTGCCCTTCAAAGTCAACTCAGTCTAATATTAGCAAAACAAATATTGAATGAAGGTAAATAATAATTATACTGTCAAGTAGATATATAAACTTAATGGCTGTATTTTACTTACTAAAAGAGGTAATTCTTTAAATGTATTAGAATGTATACTCAAAAGCTTGTTGTCATTTAACGTCAACGTTTGCAGTTGACTTAGACCACCGAAAGCTCCATTCTCCAGCTTCTGTATAGAATTGCCACCTAAGTATAACCATCGCAATAAACTCAAAGCAGTCAACGAGCTTGCTGGCACTCTGTGGATACCGTTGTCTGACAAAAAAAAACGAAATACAATATTACCCTGAGTATATTGTTTTCTTTAAGCTACTGGATATTTTGATTAATTACCAGAAATGTCAAGAAGTTTTAATGCGGGTAAATGCAAATCTGTCGAGCCGTCGCTTGGTAAACTCATGATTTTATTATGAGACAAATATAGATATTCAATAGCCCTGGGTAATCCACCTACAAACTAAATTATTCCAACATTTTTAATTACTCAGTTTAATAATATAGTTCATATTGTTAAGAGTTTGTAAATGCAAATATGTAATGGTATAAATTAAAAAGAATCATTGTAAAATTACTCATATATAATAATACGCACGTGATTGATTCTATTGTAGCTGGCATCAAATTCGTACATGTGGTACAGATGCGTGAACGTTAATGAATTTATGGAATCTATGTGGTTGTGTGAAATATTGATGTGTTCTAAATTTGGGGTGTCAACAAAAGTGGTCGGGTCCAAAGAGCCGATGTCATTATGGCTAATGTCGAAACGTCTCAGAGAAGGTAATGTGGCTAGCATGCGGCGTTCAAGTTTGTCGAACTTGTTGAAGGATATATCTAAACCTTTCAGCATTGGCAAATTCCACAGGGGGATGGCCAAATAGTTGGACAGTGAATTATTGGCCAATCTCAACTCTCTGAGCATGGGCATGGCTGAAAACGTTTCCCGGCCCACTCTCTGCAACCGGTTGTGTTCCAAGTAAAGCATTTCTAATCTGGAATGACCTTGGATAGAACCGTACACGATATCCTGCAATTGATTGCGACTGACATCTAGAAACCTTAGCTTGGGAAACATGTCCAGGATCAACCGAATGGTCATCGCGTTGTCGATAGCGTTTTCGGACAACCAGAGTTCTTCTAGGTTGTTGTCGCGAATCGGTATAAACGATTCAGGGTGGATGTGCCGTAGCTGATTATTGCTCATATCAATCACCTTCAGGTTTGGCATCCGGTGAAAAGCGCCACGACGTATGTCACCTATTTTGTTGTTGGACATGTGTACGTTGCGCAACGACGGTATGTCTACAAACGTGGCCTCGTTGACAAATTCTATCTCATTCCGATCCAGTCGGATGGTAGTGAGGGACGTAAAATCTCTGATGGCACCTCCAATATTCTGCGTATCCGTCAACTTGTTACCGACAAGCGACAATTCCATTAGGGATGGTAGACGAGCAAAGGCTCTAGGGTGCAACCAGGCCAGACCGCAGTCGGTGAAGTTTAGCAGTATCAGCCTGGGCAAGTCCTGTATGGTGCCAATGTCCATTTTTTGCATTTTCGACGACCCGGTGATGTGCAACTGTTCCAAGAATGGCAGTCCCAGAAAATTGCCCGGTTCTATATTTATAAGCGATGACGCTTCGATTTGGACGTACCTCAGCCTAGCCAAACCGGAAATCAGTGGCAATCTTGTTAGTGACCCCGTGATCAGGGTCAGCGCTTCCAATCTGGGTAATAACATAAGGCTTTCTTCCGGAAAACTCCGCAGCTCCGCTTCCACAATGAACAATTCTAATAGAGACGTCTCTTGGTCTGATAACCAATTGGAGGCGATTTTTTGGATCCCATTCTCGCGTAACATTAACCGTATGATTTTCAACGTAGAAAACGCTTTTGGGGGCATTGATGAAATGGCATTATTTTCTAAAATCAGCTCGTCTACCGGGTCGGTGATCGATGAGGCCAACTGCTTCAACTCATCCAATATAGTATTCGAATCCCCGTGGCTACACCTTAAAACACACATATAAAATGTATACATATTATTATACATTTACTATGTTGCATGTCCTTTGTAAAGTGATTTTTTGAATTTATGTAAGATAACGCTATAACATAAAAAAAGTGGTATTTGTATCTTGAGAATTTTTAATGTAACCTATTATAAAACTTGTGTGTCAGAGAAATAATTTTTTGAACTTTGGGCACCTTTATATTGGTATATAATCGCTAAGTTTTAGTCATTGTTTAAACCAAGGGCTAAATTATATAACAAATGCAAAAAGATATAATTTATTTATCGAATCGCATAGTTTGTATAAGATGCAGTTTTTAAGTGATCGTGAAAGTTTTTGCGGTGACTATTGCCGCAGGAAGGGTTTTAAAAGAAATTATGTGGTTGCGGGTTTTTTCCTCAATATATTTTATCTCATGAAATCCGTGGTTACGTCTCTATCTTCGTTTACATTATGTTTTACGCTATATAGATTCACGCATTATGACCATATTAAACAGTCGGTTTAGATACTGTTGTGTAACAGCAAGATAGAATAATCGCTTGACTCTTATCCCGACGGCGAAACGATAAGAAAAAAACACAATCTTTCACAGAAGTAATGCTTCGTTACCGGTAATAATAATTGAGGCGGTGAGTGAACTAACCCACACAAATTAAAAAATGGAGAAAATAGTACCATTTTATTTATAATTAAAAATAGTTTGATGTAAAAATAGTTTTTTTTGTTTTATTTTAATTTGTACTGGAAGGCAGCACTTAAAAAAATGTATTGCACATTTGCACCTAGTACAGTGTAAATGAAAAACTTAAAAGTTTTTATAAGTTATATTATTCCTTTTTTGGTTTTTGCTGGTTAGTCCACTTTTGCGCTGAACACCTCAATTATCAACAGCGTACAGGCAGACAAGTATTGTAGAGATATTGGACAGACAAGTATTAAATAGACAGCTGTCCAGTAAGTATGTATATATATATATATATATATATATATATATATATGTTTACCATGCGTGAACACCATAGACGTTTAACTCACCATATCTGTATCTCGTTGTCGCGGCTAGAACACTTGCAGCGCCGGATGGCGTCGTTGGGCTGTGGGCAAGTGGCCGCAGCGGCACGCGGAGTCCTCACCGTAGCCGCTATAGTGGTGATGACCCACAGCAGTGCCAGCAGTCCGTCGGTGGACCGCATCGCGTCGTCATGACCTCAACCGGCCACCGTGGACGTCGTCTGCAGTGTGCAATGTTGACATTTACCTGAAGTGTTGACGGTCGTCTTCGCAAAACAAATAACAACAACATTATGAACAAAGCAACATATCGTCGGTCATCGGTCACGGACGGGTCGACGATAAGTCTTCAGATTTTATTGTAATCGAAAGTGCTAATATCACTTTTAGTCAAACAATTCGATGCGAAACTATAGATAGTAAAAATTACTGAATATTTGTAAAATTAATCACCGTGGTTTTATAATCTTGTATTTTGGTTTTTTATCGACAAAAAAAATGTCAATTTCAAACTTTTGAAGTCAGAGTCGCCATTCTCTTACCTACTAATAACTCTCAAATCCTAAATCGAAGCAATAGTGTAACATATCAAACGTGATTGAGATAAACAATTTGGGTTCACAATTCGAAAAAAATTCAAAACAAATATTTAAAATGGTTGGCTATTGAGTTGTATCTTATAAATTGATTGATCCACGCAACAAACGGCAGGATAGAGAACAAATAATATTATATAATACAAATAAACTCTAAACATTTTAATTACTATATGTAATAATATAATAGCTACTGTAAATTAAAACTACATCGCAAATTATTGGACCATGACATCGGTTTTTTAGGATTGAATTGTATTTTTTTACGGTTTACAATAGATAAAAAAACAAATTGGTTTTTAACTTAATCTGTCATGAACAAAATCTCACAAAAACCAGGTAAATATTTCTAGTTATTTATGTAAATAGTCGAGGAATGATTAAAATAACAATTAATACTATTTACTTAACAGAAAAATAATAATAACTACAATGCACCCTGCATAGTTTAAAGGGATGCAGAGAGAATCCAGTGGGATACATGTTTAATTGGAGATTTTTCATGATGAAAACCAAATGTTTGGAGTTAGCTTGTAGAGCATAGCAAAAAGATAAATAACTCTATATTGTGATACCTGTTTTACATTTGTGTGAATAACGAAATATGTATCAAACATAACATAGTGAAAGTATGTTCACATAAATAGTTTTTTTGAAACATTTTTGCGATAAAATGACAATTAGTTGCTATTAAATGAACAATAAATTTAACCACGAAAATATTTTTAAAAAATAACTTATAAATAATATAGAATGAGGAGAGTAAAGGTAGAGACTAGCTATGGGCAGAATAATATTTACTGGGCTAAACTAAAGAAGTCAGTATCGCTGATGATCGTAATATTTACAATATGTATACGCTATAGAAAATTATTTTTGTGGTTAAGGGTTTATTTAAATATTTAATTATATATAACGACAAGTTTTGCTTAAGTTTTTTCTAAACTAAAGAAAAAAAATACAAAATTAGTAGAAAGCTAATGTATTTTGACGCATGTATGTTTATGTACACTTAATGAACAATATTAAAAAATTGGGCATTAGAGTAAACCAAATTCCAAATTATAAATAGGTATTTTTGCAGACTTGCAAAAAAAAATATTAGAAATTATTACAAATAATTTTAAAGTTATCGACAGTACTCTATAAATAACAGAAATGCCTACTTAAAAATGTGAAATGGTTTTGAATATAAATATACTGAATTGTCTAGTATGTTTTCGTAGTCTGGATTATTGTGAAAGAATTGGACGGAAGTAAATGAAAAGTAGTTAATTATGATTCGGATCAATAGTCGCCGATTTTCTCATATTATTAGAATCAGAAACAAACAAAAAATAGATAGCTAAGTGTACGCACTGCATAGAATGCCAATGATTTATAAAGCCTGTCCATTATGATAATTTATTCATCCAAAATAGGTTTAATAATAATATGCATATATATTTGGTATCGCTATATTATAACGATTTATAATAATTTGCCAGTAGACAAAATATCTACATAAAGTACTAAGATTGCGTTTGATGTACACGTGTACATGATGAATTAACGTGTCATCTCCCAAAATAATGTCTAATTCCGAGATATGATGCGTTCATCGATGTTGTGATCGATTTGCAACACTTCGGCTACTTACCTCGTTTATTACAGGTAATCGCTAACACTTAAATCGACGAAACATGGCGAATTTATATTTATTATTTATTTAAAAAAATATTATAAACATTAATGAATTAGAACACATTTTACCATCTATATGCCATGTGTTGAAGAGCATGATATTTTGAAACTTGAATTAAAATTTAACAGGATTAAAAAAAAAAATACTAAGGAAATAAATTCTTTATTGCAAAAGTTTCGGCGTCCTTGAAAGGGATAGATATTATATTATAGCAATTAATTTATAAAATAAATTATGGTGGGTAATATGAATAAACAATTATTATGCACTATACATTTTTTTTTTTTGCGAAATTAAAAGCTATATCGAAATATTATATATGCTAGCTATAGCGAATTAAAAAAAAATTATTTAATATTATTACATTGGTGTGCATATTAATTAGCATACAGTTTCATTAACTATTCCGTCATAGTTATTCCTCAATATTTTATCTTACTATATTATTACGTTTATCTTATTGTGATCAATGGCAACTAGCGGTGCAATGCACATAAAATTAATAACGTGTACGTTTTTTTATTTAAAAAGGAATACAAAAAAACACAAGCTTTTTCACAATAAGACTGACACACATAATGATCACCGTTATCATTATCATCAGTGAGGGAAAGTGTTAACGAGTGTTTTGAGCCGAAGTTCCTGCCGGTCCTTCCCATGCCATTGTCGGCGCTAATCAGTCCTCGCAGACTCCAGTAATATAATTGTTTTTGTGCGTATTGCCCACTTTTTTTTAGAAATCGTCGAATAAAAAAACAATGGTCTCATCCTGGGTAAAACTACGTTCTTATCGCAAAAACTACAAAATTAATGATTTTTATAATTATTTTTTATAATTGTTATCGTTAAAGCTCCAGACAATATTTGTTTACTTAATACGGGTAATAAAATACTCCACATCAACAGAGACAGCCCGTTAACGTCTACAATAAATGATAAATTCTTAAAAAAAAAAAGATACGAATGCCACTTTCTTATGAAAATAAAATATTATGTGAGAGATGTTGCGTTAACGTCCATTAAATATTTTATTAATCTTATACTTTATACCTAAATTTAGTGGTGTTTTTTTATATCAATTAGGGACTTGTGACTGATCTATTAAATGTTAATGAATTATTTATTATTATTTATTTTGTGACCAGGCATAAAAACTATGTTGGGTGTTTGGATTTGAGTTTACAGCTAACAATGGAAATCATTAAAAACTGTATCCACTCGTCTATTTCGTTTTTAGTAGTTAATACCAAAGGCATTAATAGCCAAAGTAAGTTATCTAAAGCAATCAATGTTATCTTATATATTTTTCCACCTTTTTGCAGTGGTGATATAATTCACAGTCATAAACAATTTTTGTTACCCACGCAATTTGTGGAAGTTTTTTATAAAAAAGTACTCTCCAGTTTTTGAGCCCCGTCAAAAATACTGTTACCGTCACTGTGTTTAAATAGGGTACATAAGGTCATAAGGTATATAATGTGTGACAATCATTTATCATGAATTTGGATAGTTTAATAGAAATATACAAACGAAACTATATTATTCTTACGGCTATTTTTGCATCAAAATAAACGTGTAATGTTTAAGTACTCGGTAGGTATTAGTAGCTTTGTTAGTTATTATAACCTAGTTAATACATAATTATTACCCTGTTGTTTTTGCACTCACTAATAATTGATTATAGGTAATTTACTTAAGCCGTTTTACAAGTATTTTTCACGAGTGCGGTCACCGATCATTGAACACAACCCTAACTACAGTCTAAAATCTATATTATAACTACTATAATGAGCCTACTCAAATAATATGATTTGAGTATAATATTTAAAAATAATTTCCTATAACGGATAAAACAAAATTTTTAGCTTCGATGCCAAGTTGAGAATTCAAATTTAAACAGGCAAAACACTACTCTGGTTCGAGCAATGCCGACCGGTTATTTTTGGGTAGATTTATGGAATTCGAGACAGTACTCCATTATACTACCTATACTGATTGTGTGTTTATTTGTTCAAAAAAAAAAGAATGTCAGGTGATAACCATCTTTCTGGTTGCACCACAGCATCAGAGTATTTACATAATTAAATGTAAACACCTGCATTCGCATCACTTTATTTAATTATGAACGTATTGAACTCACACACATTATAATGTAGAATAGGTGTCTTTTTTTTAAAACCGTTTAGGCCGTTTGTTATTATACGGTCGACTGATAACACGGGCGTTTTGCGAATGCAGCAATTAAACAACAGTTAGTGGGTCGTTGTTGCTGCTGCGCTGCGCGTTCCTTGATTATAATAATATTACATTTATTATTATCTCTATTAACGCGAAATGTACCGCAATAATAATATCGGACGTAAGTTCCGGAAAAGTTCGTCGAGTGGAACCCCCCGAACTCGCTCTAATATATGCGCCGACCGGTATACCCATATGGTTCACGGATGAGCTACCACAGACATGAGACTCTTTGACAGCCACTATTATATTATAAGTTTTTATCAACACAATAGTCCTGCAACGCGTATATTATACAACTTTTTGAAACGAAAAGTAAGCACGCTGCATAAAACTGCGGGTTACGGTCAACTAGAAATTCGTGTCAAAGCAGTTTGGTTTACCTACCGCCTACTTCTTCCGGTTCCTCACACACATGTTTCTAAGTTTTTGGAACTCTTGGTTCGACCCGAGCAACTCTTTGTCTTTCTTTCTGCCCATCCAACAGTAGTTCCTACAGGAAGTAAAACACCTATTTAGAAAATAGGTAACTAGTATAGTGTGTTTAAAGAAAAACTTAAGACTTTAACCTTAACTTTGGCTTAAGTAAATGACGACCTTTGACAAACTCCAATATGCAATCAAGATATTTAGAACAGGTTACTATTAGCACTTTACATATTATCACAAAGTTATTGTGTTTATTTTGTAGAAACTATTTATTAGCATCAGTAGTCGTCGATGACTTAATATGCATCATGTTGTACAAGTAAAAACGAATAGTCCTAAAGAATTTTCCTTAAAGTGTCTAAACGACACTTTCATTTAAAGTGTTCTATCTTATCAACTCAGATTCCCGTTTAAGTATTTTAATTTAGGATTTTTTACTTAGTTCCTAGAAACCATACAGGAACTCCATATCCCTACACTCTAAAGTGATTGGCTTTTACCGTGAAATGCCCAGATGAGATAAAGGACTTTGGTAATTCTGTAGAACGAGCCTTTCCCTTCTATATGCAGTAGGATAATATTGTCTCCTTCTATAGTCCTTGGGGATATCAATAGAACTATCTCAATAAATTAAATTCGTATTTAATAATTGAAAAGCTCAATTTTAAAATGGTCGATAATAGAGTATACCTCAAACTAGATTACAATTTTGATTTTATGTAAAAATTATGCATGTTCAGTATTGAAGAATAAATATTGTATTATACTAATTACAAATTATAGTTAAAAGTAAAAAACGAATATATTTGCGAGATTTTACATTTCAAAATAAAATGAAATAAAAATATTTTTAAGCATAGTTTTTATTAATTTGGCATGGCTTATTAACGTTAACAATTTTTCATACTCTAATGATCTATTAATATTGCGTTAGAAAAATATTTCAAAATCGCGAGACGCTTTAATAATTATTGCCCAACACAGCGAGTTCATGTCTATGGAATAATAATAATGAAAAATGATTTAGGTACCAACCAAATAAAAACATTAAGTATAACAATACTTAAACTATGATGGCTGAGTCGGAAAAAAATACATCTTAATTGCAAAATTAATATTCATAAAAATCAGATGTTATACAATAATAACATTGTTTCGGTTAAGGAAATTGTTAACATGTTGTATACGATTGTTTTTGTGACACGGATCGAAACGCAACTTTCTTCTATTTATGTTATCTTATTATTATGGTTATTATAGTATATTGTTCTCCAGACCGTTTTCGAAGCTCAATTATTAAGCAAAGGATCACTTACAGTTAACTATATTTTTTCAACACAATAGATAATTGTACAATTACACAGATCTTGTTATCATAATATTATGGTTTTGTAAGAATTCTGATACTATAGGTACTATTATATATACGACTTATTTTGGCTATACGAGTTAAGTGTTACAAGTATTCCATATGCAATTGACAAAGTAAAGTTAGTGTGTTTTGTCTAATAGTAATAAATCCCTAGGAGATATCTAAGGATAATGCTAAAAACTATGATTGCTTATTAACAAAACTAAAATTATAATTTGTTTTAATATAATAATTATTATCAGTATTAAAAAAAAATGTTCTCGAATTTTACTAATAATTAATGTAGTTATACTTTTTTGATAATGTTCATCATAATTAAGTTCAAACCTATAATAAAGTGATATAAAAATCATAATCTTTTCCGAAATTTGTAAGAACATTTTAAGTCATTTCATAGTTAAAATCCTAATTTCTATATCTAGAATAAGTATTAAGTACGCCTTATCTTGCAATATCAGCATCTTTTTTTCAAAGTGATGTTACCGTGCTTACATTTTCTTTATACAGAACATCAAATACAATCATATTTAAAGAACTTGCCTATTTGCACAGTATTCTTTCATTTTTATTAATGATTAAGAATAAACATTAGCGTAAACGGTGGCAAAACTGTATTTAATTAATTAAAAAAAACCTTTAACTTATAAAATTTCATATTCTTTATTTTATTACAGTATATATCGTTGATTCGATATGTCTTTGTAAATTAAAAAAAGTTATTATTTTTTAAATTAAATAAACCTAATACCTACTAGGTTTTTATTATATTCATCTTTTGATATAGTTAAATGATTTTATAATAATTTAAATCTAGGCATATAATACACATTAGTTATATTATAAATACACCATTTATCTAAATTATAAAATTGAACAATTAACTAATATCAAAAGTATAAAATGTGCGCTACTCCGAAATTTAAATAGCTATATTATATAATATATTACTTTATTGAAGGTTTGCAAAAAGGTAAATTGGTAAGGGGGGAACAGTGAATACTTTAATCGTACACTACTGATATTATGTACAATACAATTGCATTGGATTCGACAATCGGTATGCTATAAATGTTACGAATGATGTATGATCAAATCCAATACCTAGTATTTTTCTCTTTCGGATTTAACGAGGCGTTAAAACGGATATCTATATACGATTGCGTAATCTCCTAGATTTAAATGGTAGCTATACAACTGTAGGAATCCGCGTAAGTACATTATATTAACAATGGGCATTGCATTTTCTCTATAATATAAATAGTTACTATTTTAAAACGAGTAATTATACGAAAAAGTACGTTTAAAACGATATATACAGCAGTTCTAATGTGTTATAGCTCATCATACATGGCTAGTGGCACAACATGCATTTTTTAGGTTTACCTAGAAAATGATATGTAAGCGGGGTGAGCTGACGGAAAGGACACGTTTCGTTTCCAAAAAAGTAAGTCAATTTTAAGAAGGATTACAAAACAATTGTACAATTTTAAAACATTATCACTAATTTTTTTTTTTTTATATACTCATCGAATTTTAGGCCGAATGTATTTTGTTTTATAGCAACTGGTGGATTTTTAAAAATTAGTACCGAGTGCATAGTGTATAGATTGGGAGACCTCTGGAAATTTTTAAGAAAACTGATAGGTACTGTATTTTAGAATAACAGCTTTACTACAGTCTCGTACACCGGTTGCGCCACCGAACACGGTTTGACATGAAAACAAAAATAATTAATAATTTCATGAATCTCACCTGAAATATCATAGTCTTCTATTTTGAAACGGTCTTTTTGTATGATTAGCCGATAAAAACTCACTCGCGTTTTAACAATTATCCAAATGAACTTTGTTGCACTTTGACGAGTCCTATAAATGTTTATAAAAAAATTGAATTTCAATACGATAAGGTATAAAAGAAAAGTCGCACTTTGAAACCAATTGTTTTATATTTACTCATACAAGCACGTTGTTGTGGTCGGACTTAAAAGCGGTTTCATGTGTGTGAACAAGTTGGCATGTGGGTTGTTTTTGGACGCAAACACGGCACGCGACTGATTTTAATAATGTGCTGTGCTATGTGAAGGAGCCCATCTTTCCACCGCATGCTCCACTGGACCATGAAAGATTTCCCTACTGCAAAGCGGGTTGTGCCAGTTTTTGTAACAGCGCGAGATAACCGGATATCGTCTAATGAAGACGAGGAAGAGACCGTCGTCGCGAAAATGTCTCCAATAAATAGCATAATAACGTTATTATAACAATAATAAAATAATATCTAGGACAACAAGAGTAGGTATTCACTTAACTAGACGACGAAAAAACAATGCTTCAGTTATGTATGGAGATGGCAAAAAGAGCACATAATATGAATGCATGAGTTATAACAATACAATTATAAATTATAATTATATTATAATTAAATATAAGATGAATAATAATTGTTCGATAACACTGCACGTGAACGTATTTGTTGTTAACACATAGAAGACTATACCCATCTAATATTATAATGACAAGTGTAACAATTAGGATGAATTCTGTTTGCATAGGTACATTGCCAACCGTATGAAAACGGTAATTATTAACGAAACAATTTTTAGGCAAATTACAAATCGCTGCATTGTTCCTATAATACGGATGTTATGACATCCGGAAAATTGTCGAGAAAAAGTCGAACATAATGGAATATTTTATTATATAATATAAATATGATGATACAGGTTCGAGTTATTCGAATCCTGCCCATGATCGTGTGCTAAGTCGTTATCAACATCCTTTCGAATTTTCGGTTCAAATCAAATGCTACTATTTAACGAAAAGTTGAATAATACTAACTAGTTGTGTATATAGTTACATGTTATACTTTTAAAGTTTCTCTTAATAAATAATGAATCCCCTTTCTCCATCCAATAGTGTGTAATTGGATTATTATTTATTTTACTTAAGATTTCCTCACTCTAAAATAACGTAGGTAATACTTTTTCTTTCTTCTTTCTCGATTGATAACATACTAACTTCCATTGGGCCAGGTTAGGTTTGTATTTTTAATATTAGGTTTTATATATTTTAAGCTTTAATTATTTTTTTTAACTTTTATCGATTTTTGAATGGCCGAATGAATGATTATAGTTTTTAAGATTTTCGTTGAACTTCGTAATTATAAATTGTAATAAATAAAAAACCCCTACTATAAATTATATTTATTATGTACCTTTCATATTTTACAGTATTTTTTTTTTTGTATTTGATTTTGGTTTATTTGTCCAAATGTTTCAAATGACCTTAATTGTAATACTTATAGCATTAATTTTATATTATACATAATATTATTTAAAAAATTCGTGGTTTGTTCTGTCCAACGTCAATCATGTCCGTATGCCTCAATTTTACATGGGAAAAATTATCCAATACCTATTACCTCTGACCTTTTGTTGGCAATTTTAACATATAGCTTTCCATATTTTCATGTTGTTTTTTTCCCCTGGTTGCCCGACGTCATGATTTCAAAGTTTGTATAACAAAAATAAAGCAATAAGCAATGTGGGAAAATTTCTATCCCCACAGGTTTTTTTTTTGTTTTTAAAACGGAGATAGATATTTAAAAAGGTCTGTCTTATGATTTTTGTGTGGCCCCTTAAGTAGTTGTTAAAAACGCGTACATTGGAAGTTGCAACGCTGAGTGTTTATCCGGCAAAAAAAAGTAAATATACAACTACGGAACGTGGAGAGCTGCGATGACCACATAATGCAATAATGAGGGTGTTAACTAAGATACAATGTAAGTGACAAAATATTTTTTAAACCTTTTTTTTAATAAAAAAACTAAATGAAAAATCCTTTATTTTTGGAAATTTCAAATTACCCATATACTGTAAAATTAATATGTATAGTTATTATTACTAGTAGGTAGCTATAATAAATATAGTGTAACGATCATATTTCACCTGACCGTTACTCCTCGTCCCAAACCCGCTGACACAACACCCCGACTATAGGTGGGGGAACAGTCGCACACACAGGGCAATGTACGTCGCGTATCATCTAATTAACCATTTGACTTTACCATCACGGACCGCCAATATCCTCGACCTTGCGCTCTATATTTTTGCCGTTTTACTACAAGCCGCCCATCCGACTATCTTTTGTGTGCGTCTGTTTCAACTCCGCTTTGACCAACCATTTCATCGTCCGACCCAGGTCAGAGTGTATATATATATATATATATATATATATATATACATATACAGGGTGATCCAACTAACGTAAGACACTCATTTTCTCGGAAAATATAAATATTTTGAAAATTATTTTTTTTCTATTCTTTTAGGTATAAGTTTTACTATATTTTTCAATACTTTGAAAATTTATATCTCCATCCCTTATACGATAAAAAGGTTCTAAGTTCGCGTTTTCAAATGGCAACATATGTTTTTAATTCAATAAATTTGTAGTAAACAAATTTTAAAATATGTTTTCGTTTGAATTATTAATTTTCATCCATCTAGTCGTCAGCTATGACTTTGTAAAGATATTACATTTTCTCTTAAATATTGTTATATTTCTTTGGTTTTCCAAAGACCGGGAGCCAATAAAATACTTATTTATGATCGCATTGTCCGATAGGTGAGTACACAGATAACCAAACACAATAAAATGTTTTGTGATATTTTAGTTGACCAGCGATTCATATTTACAGATTACCGACTTTTCTAACACACCGTCATGATAGGTAGGTTGACAGACCTATATTGACAGCGGCTAACGAATGGCTATTCAACCACAACAATTAAAAACCGTGGTACAAGTAGGTTGATAACTGCTACTATGATGATAATACATAATATTATTATCATTCATAGATATATATAATATTATGTATATCTGTGTTATCATTAAACTAGTTATCATATTTTTCTACTATCTATATTCTATATTCTACATTCAACAAGTAACAGCACAGACGGCACAGTACAACAGATTAATATTAGGCTATTATGAAAATTATAATGTCTATAGTTTTTATAGGTAGTAAACAATAGCTTTAAAATTTGGCTTACAATCTCATAAGTGCATACATTAAATGGACAATCGTCGGGAAGTGTTACTATTATTTGTTTAGTTATATTGAATTTATTCAAAATATGTTTTGTGCTCAAATAATTGTTTCAAACAATTTACACTAAATAAGGAATTTTAGATTTAAATTGCTTACTATTTTAATTCTACAGTAAATATTTAAAATGTTGCCTATTTTACATTTATAACTAACTTTTTTTTTTTATAAACAACTTTATTAATAAAATAATGCAATCAAGTGGACTGTGTTTAAATGATTAAGTAGTCTAAGACTAGATATTTTTAAACAGTGTTAAGATTTCTTGTTTCCGTAACGGTAAATTCTTCAACAACACTGACATTTTATTTTTTTTAAAGTAAGTTACTTTCTTATCTAGATCCCATTAATAAAAATATGGACCAAAAGTTTGTGACTCAATTACACTAAATCATACAATGATACTCAAACTCACCTGTGATTTGTTTTCAGAAATAAAGTTAAGGTTTGTGTCACGCAAACATTAAATGATCAGAACTTGTCTTTTTTATTTTATTAATTACAAATCAAATTAAATAGTTTATATATTTCTAATCCTTTTATTAGTACTTACTAACTATTATTATAACTTATAAGATGTATAATGTTATAGTAATAGTGATTCTAAAGTCTTTATAATAAAATATGTCTGTTTTAAAATTTTTAAATTGAACAGTTAATTCTTTTACAGTTGAAGCCGCTTTTTTGATTTTATAATCAGTATTTTCTTATTTTCTTCACTATTTAATATCTAGAAAATTAAAAGCTTAATAGATTTTAGTTGTTTAAAAAGAAAACCATTGTGTGATGTTTCCTTGTTTACCAAACAAATTAAAGTATTGACATTATTAAACTATTATAACGGGTACGTTTTACTAAGATTATGTAAAAGTAGCAATATTAAATCAAAAATAGCCTTTGCTAAATTGTAGTCTCTAAATTTAATAATTATTCTGTAATAAAACTCATTTTTGAGGATTTAAATTTTACGGAATTTGTACGCGACAAGTTTGTCTGATTTTATACACATACATGTATGTATATTACATTTATTTATAAATACAAATATTTATAAAATAAATTATACTGACTTATGTCTTATAATGCATAGTTGTTAAAAATAAAATTTGTTTACATTTAATGATACAAATAATGGTTAAAAGAATATTTGCAACATTTTTCCTACTTTAAAGATTTAAAAACAATTTGCATTCATTTTTGCTGTGTGGACTTAACAAAATTTAAAAATTGATAACACAATTGTATTGATAAATTTCAACGACGAATAGATAGTATAGTATAACATTTAAAGAACAATAATACTCTTTTGTCTGACAATATAAGTATTTAACTAATAAACTATTCATAAACTTATTATTAATATAACAATAAATTTAAAAATTACAAATGTTACTATTTTGAAATATTCAATAAAAAATATGAAACAAAAACAATAACTATAAATTTGAAATTGAAATTGTTCAACTTCTATTATACTGATTTTAATTTCTTTTTTTTAACAAACGTTGGTAATTAAACAAATCTAACAAAAATAAAATTAACATTAATTATCTTAGGCAAATTCAAAAAAATAATTTACTTGATTTACTGAATTCATTAAATACAAATTAATAGAATTACAACTTTTCAAAGAGAGAATTATTGTATATTAATAAATTTGATATAAAATTTAACTTTGATAGCCAAATACCCGTGTCAGTTATAGCTAAAACTTTATGATCAAATATCCGTAATGTATGTTAAACACACAATATATGGGTTAGCTCATTGTAAGAAATAACTAAACTGAAAGCAGACATTTGAACTACCTTAGATAAGTTTAATCAAATAAAAATAATATACTTACATAGGCTTAAAATAAAATAAAAAACAATAATGGTATTATCAAGAAGTGTTTCCTTGTATGTAGTAATATGAAATGCAT